TAGGAAACCAATAAAAACTATGTAACAACATGCATGCAACAAACATTGTTTCTACCTTATATTTCTTTTTAGTTTATTTTTGTAAACCTTTATTTCCTCCTATAAATTAAAGACATCTATGCAGAATTAAATCAAATTAAACTCTAATTTCAGAAATCAATTTTTAGGGTGTTAGACCATCCGATCACCAAGTGTTCGCGTGCCCACCTTGAGCTCGTCCGATCGTCGTCTTGACTTTGGTCAAAACCGTCGTCAACACCATCCTCGCATGTACACTTGCTTGTCGACGTGTCGAAGTGCTAGCCTTCCACAATCCATCCTCCGGTCCTTGGCCCCTCAGTCTAAGCCTTCACGGTCACCCTTCACCGCTACCGGTCCATCGCGCATGGATTGTTCGCTTGACCTTCTATATTGCCGTCGATCATCTCATGCTCAACACCTGCACGTCACAAAGCTAAGAGACATATTGCACACACAACTCACTCATGCAATGGTTAGTCGCGCGCACGATTAACCAAAGCTGATCACCTCACTAACACTCACTCATCACTCACACATGGGCATATATCAACCATGTGTTTGCAATCTCTCCCTTAACGAGTGCATTGTCAACACCAGCACAAAAGAGATGAATTAAAAACAAAAGAAAAGTGTGAAATCATCTAAATGACCAAAAGCCGAGAAAGGGCAAAGAGAGGTCACTTGAAATGAGAAAACTCGGCCCCAAAGACATGTGCAATGGCTAGACGCAACCGAGAAGAAGCAAAGCTTGGTTTCCAAAGCATGGGTAAAAGCTTGACAACAACCAATCAAGGGAGCTAATCCTCAAGAAGAGGCAGAATGGGCTCAACACCACTAGCAAAATACCAAAGCAACTCAAAACTTCCAGAAATAGTGCTAGTTTCTCTAGAATATGCAAAGGCTCAACACAACTAGCAAAGTGACCAAAATCGGCCTCGAATGCAACTCCCCATGAACAAATGCACTCTCCCAAATGAATGCACGCTCACCACATATGTCAAACCTTTGTGAAAACATTATCCCCATTGTTGGAACATGCACACATCAAGATAAAACAACTTGCAACCCCCTCAAAATATGCTATGAAATTCAGTGCGGTGCAGAATTAAAGAGCTTCAGGAATAGATCATAAAAATGGGGAGATGCTGAAAGTGATATGCTCATGTGAGTACTACAATAAAGCCAAGTGCTAGCAAATGCTCAAGATGATCATAGCCATGACTAGCAAAGCATTTTGAGAAAATTTTATCAGGTCTTTAGAAAGGGTTCACCACTGAAATAGCACCAGGAATATGTAGAGCGAGACGAACAAGAAGTGCTAAACATGATTAAGCAAGGTGAACTAGTCTTATCCAAAGATCATTTCAAACACCCACATATCAATCCAACTCTTCATTTCTTTTTGGCAAACAACATGAAGTAAGTGACCTGATTGGATATAACATGAAGCACAAATTCACAACAATTCTTGAATTTTATCAAAGTTTTGAATTCAAACTTGGGTGAGCATAAGTTCATCAAAATTCATTAACATTAGGCACAAATTGGTGTCTTCACGACACAAAAGAACTTATGTTCTTCCAAGGGTTAATCGTGGGCTAACATTTGTGATGACAAATGACCTTTGGCTCAAAGCATAAGCTCTAGCATACAACATAAGCATGGCAAACACAAATTATCAATCAAGCCTACACACGCTAGGAGCCAAAATTAGAGGTGAAGTTTAAGATTTCATCATTTAAATGTAATGTTCACATTACAAAAAACAATCTTAGCTCATCAAAGTGGTAGCATATTATCAAAAGGAGGCTAAGCTTGCTCAAGCACCATCCATGTACTACACAAGATACACATCACTAAAAGCATCACACATTCTAAAGGATATACATGTGAAAGATGATATGCAATGTAGAGTATGATACAAAAGCAAAACAAAAGCTATCATACAAAAACGAAAGAAGAAAGCTATCATACAAAAATGAAAGAACAAACTAGTATACAAGATCTTACAAAATCCAAAGCTTCCCTAAACTAAAATGGGAAGCAAACACCCAACTCACCTTGCAAGCGAGCAAAAGTGGCTTGGTCTAGGGGTTTGGCTAGAATAACTGCAAGCTAGTTTTAGGTGTCAACGTGGCAAAGGTTGATGTTGCCCTTTTCATAATGGTCTCTCAGAAAATGAAAGCAAACATCTATGTGTTTGGTTTTGGAGTGAAGAACTGGGTCTTTGCCACACTAATGCACTGGTGTTGTCACAAAGTAGGGAAACTTTCTCAAAAGATAGGACAAAGTCTTTGAGAGTGGCTGTCATCCATAGGAGCTGGGAGAAACAGCTAGCGGCAGTAACATATTCATCTTCTATAGTTGATTGCGCTATGCTGGATTGACTGTGAGAAGACTAAGAGACCAATGAAGAACCAATAAACTGATAGGTGTCGGAAGTCGACTTGCGATCCAACCGACACCCGACAAAGTTGGCATCCGAATAGCCGCACAAAGAAAGCGTCGAAGATAAGAGTACCACAATCCAAACTCCTGAGTGAACCAGAGATACCTCATAATCCTCTTCATCGCTTGGCGAAGGGAGGTGCGCGGTGATGCTTAAAAACGAGCACACAGACACACAGTGTATGTCCGGCGAATGATGTGCTCCGGTACTCTTTGTAGTCCATGACTTCTCCTTTCTCATCCGCATCCGGGGTCGTCATATAGTTGACATGGGTGTCGAAAGAGGCTTGGCCTCACTGATGTCGAACTTCTTCAAGATGTCCTTGGTGTACTTCCCTTGGTGGATGAATGTCCTAATGAGGACATGACACCTGTGGATACGCCCATGAGAGTTAAAAACAAGGTGAGCTCATTCCTATGTTTGCACAATGACATAAGTGAGAATTTGTCGCTACCTAATGTCAGCACTTTCAATGTGTTTAGAGAATAATTTGAGGATGCTATGAACCTTGGAGAGACATCTTACGTGGCCTCTATAACTCATGGGATGTGGATGCACCATGTGCAGGACCCAACTTGGGGTGCAAGAACATACAAGCACAACATTCTGTTCGTTGGCAGCCCGACAATACTCTGATGTGAAGGCCATAACTCTTTCATCCGGACTCTGATTGAGGTCCATGAGCAGTCAAATGGATCTGATATCACCTCAATACCAAGTCCGCGAGGCCTCTAAATCATCAAGACATGTTGCTGCTCTTTCTGTCGGATGCTGCAATATCGTCTTGAGCTTGGCATTCACCCTTGAGACCTGGCTCAAGTTGGAGCACGCCCCAATCATGTGGAGAGCACTTCAAAGAGGCTCAAGAGCGTCCTCCGCTTGGACACCACCTTAGGAGGCCAGTGTGGGCATCCAATTCAAGTTGGAGGCTCAATCTGTATCAAGTTTGAGTCGATCTCGGACTCTAGGAGCAGCCCACACTAAAAACAGATGCCCAAGTCGTATACGACCTGTTTTCGACGTTCTATTTATGGATTTCCAGTTCGAGTCTATCTAACCAATGACATTGGTCCCACATCAAAATTCCTTCGGAATCAACGGGTGTTGAAACAAGTGGACACCCAGAATATGTCAGGGTGCCGCGTCACCGTCTTTTAGGCCGTTTGAGACTTGTAGCATGTTGAGACTCCTTAGGGACGCGAATAGGTCCTCGGCAACTCCTTGGACTACATATTCAGTAGCTGTCAACCCGTCACCGAAGTTGGAATTTAGGTTTTGCTTTAAATTAATCCGTCATCGAACATGATTCGCGTGCTCTGTTACTGTGTCGCTACTTCTCCCCTTATTTTCTTAGACTGAGGACTGTAATAACAACACTTGCTAATGAGATGTGTTGGTAATAATAGAGAAATAGATATAAGTGCATTTTTAAGTTAATTTTGAGTAATTGAATTTGTGATTATTTTATCAGCATATTTGGTACTTTAATTTTGTTTTCTCTAATTAAGGTGGTAATTTTTGTGCCTTGATACTTAACTTAACGTGAAGGGTTTTTTGTTGGTCAAACACTAGGATATAATAGATTATGTATCACCATTCTGTATTTTTTGGGGAAAGGAACGGAAATATCCCGAACCGAACCGCATCGTTTTCTATATTTAATTCGATCGAATCCGTATTTTTTTGTCCAACTTTACCGTTTTCGCTTTCGCATTTCAGATGTTTCGTATTTCAAATGTAAAAGTAGAAAACGGTTTAGACATTTTTCGACCGTTTTCTACTTTTCTACTTTTAATTTAAAATATTCTGAATTCAAAATTCGGTTTAAACCGAATTTGGCCAACTGCACAGGTCATACAGCCCAATTGCTAGTTGCTACATCTAATTTTAATTCCTATTATCCTGCTAGCTACTAATTGCTTGTTCTAGACTTGTATTTATGTGTCGGCTATTGTATTAAATACTTAAGACCAAGGATCATGCACTTGTTAATTATTATATGCATTTGAACTTGATCATGTATGTACTTAGTCATGCACTTGGTCCTACGGGTCGGTATTCCGTATTGAGTTTTCGTGTATCGACCGTGTTCGACATAAATCCGCTCGAATTGGTTCGTTTTCGGAATTCTCGATATTTTGTAAGTTCGCGTTCGTTTTCGTGTCCGGTTTTACCGTTTTCGCTTTCGTTTTCGTATTTCAAATGTAAAAGTAGAAAACAATTTAGGAGTTTTTCGACAGTTTCCGACCGTTTTCATCCTTACCCACGAGGCTACAACTCGTCTAAACACATAGATGACCAAAAAAGCTGTTAATTAACATCATATAGAACTTGTTTCTGGCTCCAGAAGCAGAGACATCTATAAACTTAACAGATAGAAAATTGAAGCATCTACATCGCAAGCATCAAGTGGATCTTATTGTACATTTAACTCCTGCCAATTTGCTTCGTCCTCCGTTGGCATGTTTGCACAGACAAAGTTGACAATAGTATTGGACATCCTCACAAGTCGCTCCAGAACACGGACAAGATGATGAATTCCTCGCAGCTCCTGATCTTCTCTGCTCCAGCGGCTAACTCAACAGTTGGCCTTTCTCATTGGAGCTCACAGGAGACGGGAATGCGATCTTCCTTGCAGAGCAACCTCGGCACCATTCTTGCGTGCATCCTGTCCTTCCTGGCCGCCGCCGTCTCCAACGCCGGCGGCGTCGGGGGCAGGTCGCTGTACGTCCCGATCCAGAACATCGTGCTGGGGCTGAGCCTCAAGACGGCATCGGAGGAGGCCTGCTTCTTAACCCTGTGCTCCTCCAAATTGGAGTTCCCCCAACAGTAAGACGATACAAACAGTCCATACTCTTCTCCTCTCTTGCCTCGTCCTGCGCCTAAATTGGGATGCCAAGTAGGCTATTTCTGAAATCTGAACTCTGAGTTTTGTTCAGACGGCGGCGGCGACGACCATGTTCATGGTGCTCTTCTGCGCCTCCATGTCCATGGTCCAGTTCATCATCCTGGGCGTCGACGGGATCGCCAGCGCTCTCCTCTACGCGGCCACTTGCTTCATCGCTTCCATCGTCGGGCTGGTCGGAATACAGGGCGCCATAAGGAGGTCCGGCAGGGCTTCGCTGATCGTGTTCATGGTGGCCGGCATCTTGGCCCTCAGCGCCATTGTCATCGCCTGCTCGGGAGTCGTCCGTGTCTGGGAGGAGTACATGAGCGGGCAGTACATGGGATTTAAGCTGCCCTGCTGAAGAACCGTTGTTAATTGTTATGTGATGTCTGAGTTTCATCTGACTGTTAAAATCACTTTAATTTGCCAAAATAATCTGCTGAAATTCAGACCGATGTAGTGTGCTTGCCAAGAATATGCTATGCACCCGACATCTTTGTTATATGCAGTACTTGGCTTGATTATTTTTTGGGCTATGGGTGAAAAAAACTGTGTCCTCACCCAAATTTCGGGCATCTGGATCTTGCTATGAGAATGGTGACGCTGAGTGGCTAGCAGCTCTGAATTATGATTGCACAATTTTATTTGTTGTGGGGTGACTATGGTCCGGTCCACGTTTATTTTAGCGCTTGAAATATATTCAAATATATCGATTGTCGAGCACATCCTGGTATAGTTGGCCAAACGGTCCGGCCCTTACCCTTAGCAACCATGTTCCCATGAGGCGACGGAAACGTGGAATAGGAACAGAAATTTAGGGCATTACATGGAACGTGGAATGTGGCCATGTTCTCGTTCCCAGGCTGCTAAGGTCTAGTCACAATGGCCTGGCACGGATACGATACGAAAAAACACGACCTTAACCTGGCCAGGCACAAAATGCATACTGCCATAGCCGGCATGGGGACGGACGTAGTGTTGTGCCTGACCCGAGACGTCGGCCTGCAGGGCTGGCATTCTAGGCTGCTAAGGTCCAGTCACAATGGCCTGGCACGGATACGATACGAAAAAACACGACCTTAACCTGGCCAGGCACAAAATGCATAGTGCCAAAGCCGGCATGGGACAGGCGTAGTGTTGTGCCTGACCTGAGACGTCGGCAAAGGGCTGGCATTCTATCCGTTGGATGGCTTCAGACGATTCAAGACCGTTGGAAATACATACGAGAGCGTATAAATGACTCTTTAAACCCTAGCTCTCAATCCTAAACCCCTGCTCTCATGCAACTATCTGAATCTCCTCCCGTCTCCCACCCGCATCTTCGTCTCTCGTCTCCCAGTCACATCTCCATCAACCGGCTTTCACACGCATGTGCCCGCATGGGAGCTCCTGACTCCCGTGTGGCATCCTCCATGCGGGGAGCGGCGGCACAGTGGCGCGACGCGTGACGCGCGGGGAAGCGGCGACACAGCACCTTCCCAGGCAAGGCAAGGCGTGACTGCAGGGACAGCTACATGGACTTGGGCCAACACAGGTGAAAGGTTCTAAATGGATAGAGGGGGATGAATACCCTATAAAAATTATCTACAAATTCAGTAGAGCAATTGGTTAGTACACTAAATGGCGCAATGTAATTTTGCTCTAGCTCTACAAGGGTCGCAAGCCACCTATCCAACAATTCTAGTTACTTTGATCACTAAGCACTCAAGAGGCTAAGTTGCTACTCACTAAGAGCTCTCAACAATGCTACACTAAAGAGCTCCACTAGGTGAAACTAAACTAGCAAGCAAGCTCTCAAAACTAGCTACACTAAAGAGCTTGCTACTCAACTAGTTTGCATGAATGTAAAGTAGTGAGTAGGGTGATTATACTACCGTGTCGAGGAATAAACCAATCACAATGAAGCCAATCCAATCACCGGAAGAATTCCAATCACACAAGAGACTCAAGATTTTTCTCCCAAGTTTCACGTGCTTGCTGACATGCTAGTCCCCGTTGTGTCGACCGACACTTGGTGGTTCAACGGCTAATAGGTGTTGCACAAACCTAGTCCAACAAATGGACACCGCAAGAACCTACCCACAAGTGAGGTAACTCAATGACACGAGCAATCCACTAGAATTACCTTTCGGTGCTCCGTCGGAGAAGGCACAAGACCCTCACAATCACCGGGAGATGGCCACGAACAATCACTAACTCGTGCTGATGCTCCTTCGCTGCTCCAAGCTATCTAGGTGGCGGCAACCACCAAGAGTAACAAGAACTCCACAGCCACAATGATCCCCAAATGCCACTGAAGGGGACCATGATGCCTAAGAGAGGGGGGGGAATTAGGCAACTTAAAAATCTAACTCTCAACTATGGCATCTTTATCTAACCCTAGCAAAACCTATGCAAAAGGTAATCTATCTAAATGTGCAACTACGGTTTTGCTAGTGTATCGCTATCCCTACCGCACAAGGAGTAATACAATCAATGTAAATGCGGAAGCTAAAGAGCAAGGTAGAGATATGCAAACTCCCGTTGACGACTCCGGTATTTTTACCGAGGTATCGAGAAGGACGCAAGCTTCCCCCTAGTCCTCGTTGGAGCCCCTCGCAAGGGCCAAGCTCCCGGTCAGGTAACTCTGTGGATAGCCTCGAGCCTTCTCCACGCGCAAGTGGGTCTCCGACGTGCCTTCCGGCAAGGCTCTCCCGGATGCTCCCCGCCGTCTTCACTATCAAGCTTCCGGCCGAAACGCCGCGGGCCTTGTTCCCTCCGGTACACGGTGGCGGCCACACCACAAACATGGTTGGTGTGATCTCGCAAGACTACAAGCCCTTCCGATGTACAACAATGGTGCGCGCAAGCACCGAGTGGTAAGAAGTATGCAAACCTCACTAAACACTAGGCCCAAACCTAGAGCAAGCGCATAAGCGGTGGTCTGATCAACCTAAGCACTTCGCAAAGCACCTACGCTAATCACCTAATGAAACACTAAGCACTATGCAAGTGGAGATCACTAAAATGGTGTATCAACACCCTAGATATGTTTCCTTAGCTCCACCCACTCCAAATGGCCGGTTGGGGGTTGTATTTATAAGCCCCACTGAAAAAGTAGCCGTTGGGGACAAAATCCCTCTTTTCTGCTACTGACCGGACGCTGGAGTCCTCCTGATCGGACGCGTCCGGTCGTCCCGACCGTTGGAGCCATGAATAACTGATCGAACTCTGCCAGTGTCCGGTCACTTGCCACCGACGCGTCCGGTCGCATTTTCGCTGCTATGGAACCTCTCTGTTCTCGATCGGACGCTGCTGTCCTACGTCCGGTCGGTTTGCTGCCAGCGTCCGGTCCAACATCCGGTCGCTGTTGTTGTTGCCAAGCCTCTGATCGGAGCGTCCGGTCGCTTTTCGTCAGCGTCCGGTCGCTGCTATGAGCTCGTTTCTTCGCAATCTTGCGTGCGGCTTGGTTCCTATCTTCATGATTTGACTTTGCTTGATATCTTGGGTCTTTTCTTATGCTCCTAAGGTCTTGCTTGAGGTGTTGATCATCGGATCATCACGTCGCCTTTGTCCAAGTCACGTCTTGCATCCTATTAAACTACAAAACAATCACTTGCAAATTCATTAGTCCAATTTGGTTGTGTTGGTCATCAAGCACCAAAATCCAAAGTAAATGGGCCTAGGGTCTATTTTCCTTACAACCACTAGATGCAATCACTAAAGCAAATACAATAGGAATCACTCTCAATCTCACTATGATGATGAATCAATGATGGAGATGAGTGGAAGGTGTTTGCTTAGGCTCTCAAGGATGTCAAGAATGTCAAAGTGTGAAGAGAGAGAGAGCCCCAAGCCAGCCAACCATTTTAAATAGAGCCCCAAGGCTCAAAGAGCCATTGGCCCTGCGCAGGCATGACCGGACGCTGCCCATGCGTCCGGTCCGGTGAGTCCGGTCGCCTGTTGGCTGCCACATGTCCCTCCATTCAACGTCACCCGCTCATCTCCAACGGTCACTTAGTCGATTGCTCGCGTGTTAAGTTGTGACCGGACACGCTGCTCAAAGTGACCGGACGCCCCACCACGTGGTGTCCGATCAAGTCTAGTAAGCACCCCGAGGGGTTTTTCTTGGACCGGATACATCAGGTTAGAGTTGACCTGACACACCCTAGAGTCTGATCAACACTTGGCTCTTCTGTGTGCACCCGCGAGGTTGACGCCAGCGTACGTCATGCCCGACCTAACGCACCGTTGTCGCGTGTTCGTTCGCGTCTCTTGTCCAGCGTCCGGTCACGAGGCCGAGCCTCGCCCTTTCTATTAGCTTGACCAGACTCAGCCCCATGTCTGGTCCTAGCGTCCGATCCTACTTGGCCCTCTCAGCCAAGGCTCATGCAACTGACCGGACGAGCCTGGTTAGGGTGCGGTCCAGCGTCTGGTCCTGCACCTTCGCCTCCTTTTCTTTTTCTATCTCCTCAAACACTTCATCCTTGCTTCCAAGTTGCTAACCACAAAGTGTAGAACTTATGTGCACGTGTGTTAGCATTTTTTCAAGCATTTTCAAGGGTTAAAAGTTAGCACACTAGGTTCTAATGCATATGCAAGAATCATGTCACCTAGTGGCATTCGATAAACCGCTTAGCCAAAGAATTCCCCTCTTCATAGTACGACTATCGATCCTAAATACAGTCACACCCTCTATGGTGTCTTGAGTGCCAAAAAAAAACCTAGTTGATACCATTGCCTTGATCAACCTTATTTTTTTTGTTTTTCTCTTTCGTCTTTTCCAAGTTGGAGCACTTGATCTTCAAGTTTGGTATTCACCATCACCATGACCATCATCTAGCTCCACCACTTGGCATAGGACCATTCTTTCATGTCTACACACTTAGTACAAGGATTAGTCCCTAGGTTTCATCAATTATCCAAAACCAAACTAGGGCTTTCAATCTCTCCCTTTTTGGTAATTGATGACAACCTTTTCACAAAAATATTCAATGAAATCTTTTAGGATTCATGTTGCTTGCCCAAGCATTTTATCATGTGTAAAGGATATGGACAAGTTTCATAAACCCAAATTGGTAGAATTAGCTCCCCCTACATATGTGCTAAGAGTTTGGATTTGAAAGCTTGCACATATGCATAGATAGGAAGTGTGGGGAACTAATGTCTACCAAATGATGCTAAGGTGTAAAGAATGGACTTTTGAAAAATGATACCAATCGGAGTTGCCATTTGAACACCATCCTTAGCACCGTGATTTGCTAGATACCACTTGAAAATCACAATGTAAAGACAAACTAGATACCTCATGAGATCAACATTTGAAGCAAGGCTCTAGTGCCCTTATGAAAGCAATTCAAGTGTCTAGCTATCTTATACATG